AAGCAGCGTCACCAGGGATCCGAATTGGCCACGAAGAATGAGGGACACTGCCAACCTCAGGAGTGAAGGGCCGTTGCGGTTTGGGCTGATGGGTTTTGGGTTTGGAAGGTGGCTGAGCATTGCAAGTTAGTAGCTAGCGAGATACACCAACAAATGCTAAAGAAATAACACCAAAGGGTAAAGACAAGGTTCAGCCTCAATGTCCTTTGTTTAAGAGTATAACTAACATTATTCAAGGAACGCGATGCCTGCGGCTCCATTCAAATCCATAAAGGATCTCTTTTTTCTTTGGTTGTGGGTTGAGAAGCGAAACTTTCTCTTGTGGTCACGGTCATAGAGTATGTCATAAGCCCTGGAGGAATACCCACATCGGGTAGCTGTTTTGGCTACCCTGGCCACCCCACTGAACAGCTCCAGTACTTGGATGTTTTCCAAGGTTTCTCCAGCTCCACCGAAGTCAAAGAATTGCACAAAGATAACCAACCATATAAAGTCCTCAGCTAGCGAGCTAGTGGTAGTAGCCGGCAGCCAAGGCACTGGCAAAACCTGTTTCACATGAATGCCCCATTCCAATTTCAATTTCTGTGGACAGGTCACTGTAGGTAGCTGCAGTGTCATCAGCCGGTTTATCACAACATCGAAATGTTCCGGTGACAGTGCCATTGCTGTCAGTTTATGCCCCACTTGAGATCTCTTGGCTGCCAGCTAGTGGGCTTGAGATCTTGGACGACAATGGTTTTACTGCAGCGCTGTTATTTGAAAACTCGTGTCGGGAAGACCCACGTTGGCACCATAGCCACGGATGAGTGCTGCAGTCGGGATGTGCGAACGCCTAGGGCCACACAAGGTTTTGGAAATGTGGGAAGCACGGGAAAACAGACTTCTAGGTTTCAGACCGGGGCATTGAAATTTGCCACCTGTCAGCTGTAACTACTGAAGAGGGGAATCACCACTGCAAAAATAAGTATTGGCTTTGCTTTTTTCCGTTGAAAGATCAACGCCACGGTAAGACTGACTTCTACTTACAGCTGCCACGAAGGTTCTAAAGCTACTGTAGCTACTTCCCTCGAGCAGTTGCACGAATCCAGATGGTATCACTTTGAATTGGGCTACTTTCACAGCCCTTGAACCCCAAAAGTCTGAATCACTCCATGGATTCAAACAAAACTGTAGCCGGCCAGCACTCCCATCACTGAGAGTCGTTTGGCAGTGCCGCAGCTGGTTGCTCCGCACCATTCTCAGGAATGGATCCTCACAGAACTTGCAGGATAGTGTAGGAAGAGTTGTAGGAAGCTTTATGTAAGATAGGGGGAACAAAAGGAAAACTTAAAGATTACCACCAAAGGTCCTGGGAAGCTGACAGCCAAAGCTTTGGCTGCAGCAAAGAAGTCATCATACGTTGTCAGGCCCGTGAACTTGCCGGAAGCGCCACACGCATCCCAAAACTCCGCCTTCCAACAGTTCTTTTGGGAGCAAGCAAAGGGTGCATAAACATGGGCTGTCTAATTTCAACACCTTTTTTGGAGTTAGCTTTAAACATCTCATGAACCAAACCTGAAGTTTGGAAGAGCACTTCGTCTTGGGCTTGATCTCCTGGTTGAAGACATCTTTGAGCGCTTTCCACTTGGAAGCTGAAGGCTCCACTTTAGGACAGTATCGCCGGGCAAAAGTTGCGCATTCTTCGCCATCGCGAGGCCGCTTCTTGCCCCTGGTGTCCTTGGCATTCTTTGCAACATCGAGCTCCTGCTCCTCAACCTGCTCAGGCTGCCTGGAGTCCTTGGGCTTCTTGACCTTTGCCACCTTCTCCTTGGGCTCAGGCTTGACCTTGGCCTCAGGCTTCACCTTGGCCTCAGGCTTTTTCTTGGGCGCAGGCCCAAGCTCTTCTGCTTCGACTGTCTTTCTCTTCCTGTTTGTCTTCTTGTCGGAGACTGGGGCAGCATTCGGCTCTGCCTTTTTCCTTTTACGCTGAGCAGGTGCCTCAGCAGGGACCTCCTCCTCCTCCTCCTCCTCACCCTCACCAGAATCAACTTCGACCACTTCAACAGGTTTCTGCTTTCGGCCACGTCCACGCCCACGTCCACCACGGCCGCCCCGACCCCTTCCACACTCACCACCGTCGCCATCAGCGCTCACGTCCAGGACCCCCTTTTGCTTCGAGTGAAGTACCACCGGAGCCTTTGGGTTGTGGGATCAAGTCAAAGTTGTATTTAAAAAAACTGTTTTAACACATAAACCCGGCTCTTTTAAATGTAGCTTGAAACATTTTCAACCACCCATGAGCCTCCATGTTGGTGAGGTCAGGCGGAGTCAAACCCTTAACCTCATTCTCATTGCGCGGACATGCCTTCGATGATCTGGTCGAACAAGGCTTTCGTTTCTCACTGGCAATCTTCTTTTCCTTGTTGCCAGTCTCGGTCAGTTCAGGCTTTGTCTCACCAGTCTTCTTTCCCTCAGGCTTTGTCTCACCAGTCTTCTTTTCCTCATTGCCAGTCTCGGTCGGTTCAGGCTTTGTCTCACCAATCT